TGGTGGCTCAAAACGTCATACATTTTCTAAGAGAAATGATTTGATAGAAATTGAGAAGTGGTTAAAGGTGCATTGTGTAACTTTTCTGGTGTTCTTGCTTTGCCCAGAATGTCCCACTGTATGGCATTAAAGTCATCTATCTTGGACCGATTTCATTATTGCTCAGAAATACTTTGAAAAACATGCATTTGAACTTGGAGTGAGTTTGCCTCTCCACAGATCTGAACTGTAACTATGCCTGATGGTCACATGCTTGTATTTATGGAGATAGATAAGATTAATGCCATATTGTGGTAGCCTGATTCATCAGCTGGTTTCACTTTGTGGAAACTGTCTGACCTCACAGCATTCCTTCACTCGATGGTAGGCGGGTACTTTTTTTATTTAACCAATTGCTGCTATTTGGTCGTGACTTATATAATGTTTTCCTTGGAGACTTCTGTAATGCGCCAAATCCCATAGGAGGAAGGACAATAACATCTTTCCCTTTGATAAAATTCTTCATAAAATTGTTCTGGCTTTAAATCCTTGATCTCGGGAATTGTTGCCAACACAGAATGTCTGTCTTCGTCTACATCCATCTCTACAGCTTTGTTTACTGTTGTGCTGTACCACAAAAAGGAACTCAGACAGGCGCTTAAGTCTGACATCATGGCTTCACAGCTCTTCGCTGATTGGCCGGTGCGTGGTCTACAACTTCCGGGGTTCTGGTAAACCGTCTAGTGTATTCTGATTCCTGACCTAGTCACTGGAGAGAAATGAAACTGAGTGGAGATAGTGCCAGCCTGGCTAATATTGTGAAACATCTTGATGCAAACAAGCATATGGTCGACGCTCCACCAGAAAAGTTACACAGTGCACCTTTAACATGTTACAAATTTGAGGATAGGTAGCCAAAAGCAGCATCAAATAACATTCTATCGGCTTAAAAATCATGGAAAAATGAAGACAGACTGATGCCATATTAACCATTTAAAACTAAATATTATATCTCTTGCACTGTGAAAAGTCTTTCAAGATATCTCCAATGACAAAAAGCTGATTGTGGTGAACAAAATCTGAAACTGAAACAATTAATTCAAGATCCCATATTGCACAAAACTGACTCTTGGGAATTTTAGGCTGTGCTATAATGTCATTACCTCCTCAAAAACATACCAAGAGTTGTGTTTTGTTTCATTCACAAGGGTTTGAGTAATCCTTTATTATTATCCAGAGGTCAAAATGCTCTGTTCCACCTTGTGATGTCATGAAGAGGTAGTTTTCAAGATAGCGGCTGCCTTTTGTTGAGTAGAGATTGGCAATTCCAGGTCTGAAATGATCCATATAATTCTAGTGCAGGTGTATGGAAATTAAAAACACATTGCACACATTGGAGCACTTCCTGTATTACCACATGACATCACAAGGTAGAACAGAGTGTTTTTGTATGTTTTTGATGAGGAAACAACGTTAAAATATACATCCAAAAATAGTGTATTATCCGCTCTTTAAGATTGGTGAAAGTGATACAAAAAGTTGTTAAAATGATATATTTCATGGTTATACAGATGCAATTTCTTCCATAACAACTCATTTGTCTCTTTACCTCTAACTTTTATAAAAATGCTCATTGCTCAAACAAATTCAACTTAAATCCAGGCTACACAATCAAAAAGCCAAACAACCCTACTCTTATTAATTATCAAACTTGGATTATAGCTGAGCAGCCACTTGATTACTGTGCACTTTTTGTAATAACAAAAAACTTTTCCTCATCTATAACCACTAATGAACCTTGCTAATTAAATTTCTTTGCGCCACCATTCGTCTACTGTTTACAAAGTACCAAAAGCACAGAGCAGCTTTATTGCTATAGAGCCAAATACAATATTGCAGATTGGATAAACACTGAAGACACAAGGTACATCACAATTTAATGTTGGGATTTAAGATTTCATTTGCTTCTATGTGGGTTTCTACTGCAGGGCTTAAAGGTGTATTGTGTAACTTTTTGGTTGGGGGTCCATCACCTGCTTGTTTCTATAGATATGTCATTGTCTGGAATGTTCCACAGTATGACATTAAACAGCTCTACATTACATTTCTTAAATTACAGGTGGTTTTATAGCTCAGAAATCCCTAGAAAAATAGGTAATATGATTGTGAGCAGGGTTGTCTCTCCACAGATCTGACCTGTAACTTGGTTTAGATTGGTCTACATGAAGATAGAAAGGTTTAATACCATACAGTGCAACAGAGCCCGACGCAAAACAGTGCGGTGCGGGACACATTTTGAAAGCTCATTGCGGTGCTTGCGGGAGAGGGACTGCAGGAGTGGGCGGTGGGATGATAAACTCCCGTCCCACAAACTAAATATGAGTCTAAAGTAAAATATATAAATGATTAATGTATACTTATCGTGCATCATTTGTGCTGGATATTTTATTTGGCATTAATAAAAACATTTTAAGCAAACAAAATTTGCGGATGTGGTCTAATTTCGCGCACATTTTAGACAATTCCTTTCTGCTTCTCTGTGTTTGATAGTGCTTAAGAAAGGGAACATCTTCCTATTGCAGGATTTGCGGACGGGCAGGACAAAATATTGCAGATGAGGGCGGGAGCGGGAATGAAAATTACAATTCTTTGCGGGTGCAGGCAGGAGCGGGATTGAAAAATCTATCCTGCGCATACCTCTACTGTGATACATTCCAGACAAAGCAATAACATCTCGGAGAAAAGCATTTGACACACCCTCTACCAGAAAGGTTACACAATGCAACTTTAAGATCTCATTTGCTTCTAGGTGGATTTCTACTACGGGGCTTAAGAGTGCAAACAGTTACGGTAATATTTAGTCATATCATATACAAAATCATTCAGGTAGAGGTCTTGTTTGAACATTTTTTTAAAGGTACGTTGCGCAACTTTTCTGATGAAGGGTTTGCAATAACTACTTGTATCCACGGAGACGTTATTGCTTTGCCTAGAATGTTCCACGTTATGACATTAAACATATCCATCTATCATTTATTCATTACAGGTGTTTCTATTCCTCAAAAATACAATAAATCCTTATGCGAACAGAGTCGACTCTCCACAGATCTGAACTGTAATATAACGTAGCACTGTAACCTGCTTGTCTCCCTTGTGATGAAATTTAATCTATACTGTGGAAAATTCTAGACAAAGCAATAACATTTCCATGGAGACAAGCAGGTAGCGGAACCTCCACTAGAAATGTTACGCAGTGCACCTTTAAGTGTCATTTTTTGTGTAAAATGGATTTTCAAGAATACTTCTCCAGTTACAAGGAAAACAGATCAACATTTGAGAATTTACTGCATTAGATTATAAAATTGTACTTGTGAATTCTGGTATCTTTGGACTATTACAAGTATTTTTTATTTTTTATTTTTGTAAATATGTGAACAGTAGGACCTTGCATATTCCAATCATGAATGAAGGACTAACTATATGATTTTTCCATTTACTTTTACAATAGAGTATAGTCATGTAACAGATTATCACCAATTCATGCATAAGGTACATACAGTTTCAGAAATTTATGACTTCATAATATTTCACCCTTGGGCCCCTCTGCACCGTAGGGGAGTCACAAAGTAGTCGCAGAGTAACAAAGGTCAGGTTTACACTGTATTTAATTTCAAAGAAGCTATCTGGTAAAAATAAACGATCTCATGTGCTTTTCCTTATTTGGAAACAAAATTAAACCAAATAAAAATCAGGGAATGTCATACGACCCTGAGAAAACTATGACAGACTTTTAAAAGTATCTAGGTTAGGTTCATCGTGTGCATCCAGCGTAAAGGTACACTATGCGACTTTTTTGGTGAAGGGTATGCCACCTGCTTGTCTTCATGGAGATGTTTGTAGATTGCCTGAAATGTGTCACAGTATGGCATTATATTTATCTCCCTTGCTTTTTTTTAATAACTTTTATTGACAAACAAATATGCAACCAGTCAAAAGTATTAGAATACCCTAATTTTTCCAGTTATTTATTGCAATTCAAGTTGTGCAAGTCCAATGAAGAGACTGAAATTGTACAAACGTAAATAAAAGGTTAAAAAAAGATAAAAGATACAAAACACAAGTCCAAGCTCTGCCAAAAGTACCTCAGGAAAAAAGAAGATGATAAAATTGAAAATATGGAGTGTCCAGCAGTCTCCAGACTCGAGCTGGTTTGGGATGAACTGGACAGAAGAGTGAAGCAACCTACAAGTGCCACACATTTATGGGAACTTCTGCAATGGACTTGGGAAGAACTTTCTGATTTCTTTCTGATTTCTATTATAAAAAGAATGCCATGAGTGTGTTCAGCTGTTACATCTGCCAAAGGTGGACACTTTCATAAATCAAAAGTTTAGAATACGTTTGGTCAACAGTAAACAGTAAAAAACTGGAAAAAGTGTGGTGTTCTAAAACTTTTGACCAGTATTGTATGTCTGAAAAATTATCTAAAAAGATCTAAAAAGTAACTTGGCTTGGTTCAATGTCATACTCCAGAAAATTTCAGGCAACACAATACACCTCCTTAAAACCTCTTGTATATAGCTGAGATATATTTGCATTACTATACCATATACATTTATATACTTATGCCTTATTTGACACCAGTCTCTTGTTATGTTTGCTGCTTATTTTGAATTTATTATTACCATTTATATTGTTGCTCTTTGTTATTATCTCACATTGTGAAGGTACTGTGTCCAGACTATTTCCCATATGGATCGACAAAGTTCGTCTAAGTCTGTCTAAAGATCTCCATGGAGACAAGCAGGTGGCGGACCCTTCATCCAAAATGTTACGTAGTGCACTTTTAGTTCTGACATCATGTTTGACAGAGTTAGTGCAGGGACAACACAGGCAACAAAAGGCATTTCATTCTTGGTAAACCTATATAATATTTCTCTGTACATTTCTGAACAGCAGTTTTTGTTTTATTTATAGGACTGGCCTTGTCGGCTTCAGGCCTGTTTTTGTCATTTCAACTTTCACAAAAACGTCACATCTTCTTGGGATTGGACCCAGCGCCAGTGTGCGTCATACTCTAGATGTATGTTTTTTCCGTTGAGTTTGCATGAAGCGTCTGTGTCTATCTTTCCATTGGTGTATGTTTTGTGGCTAGGACTTTTGTTACTGTGCCGGGGACTTCCCATTTGTACCCCAGTCGCTCCAGTATTAGCAGTAGCGGTAGAATTCTTATCTGCTACCACGCCGTTCGGTTTGTTGAGTTGCGATTGCAGTTTTATTGGGCTATTTTTGGCTGAAGATTCTGGGGTTTTCCTCTGCCACGTTGGAGGCGAGTTCACACGCTTGGGGCTGTCCATTCTCGGTCTGATTGCTGCGGTTGGTTTTGCAGTTACACTAACACTATTCACATTTTCGTTAGCTTTCAGACCGCTTTTCGGCAATGTCCTCGCCGCCACGGTTGCCTCGGAAGCCTGCGGCGTTGAAGAGCAGATGATGGACTGATCGGAGCTAGAGGGGCAGTATTCGTCCATGTCGTCGGCGAGGGTGTCCAGGTAGCTTCCGATGGAGATGTTGTCCAGTTTGTCATTAGGGTCTTGCAGGCTGCTCCAGGACCCCCTCCAGGACGTGTCAGGCCCCTCCCCCAGGCTGTACTGGCTGCTGGTCAAGCTGCTGCAGCGGCTGGTCAAGGTGCTCCTCTCCTCCATCAGCCACTTCACTGCCTCGATGCCCTCGTGAACCGCCAATAACTGCTGCAAGATCTTCACATCCGCCGAGCGCAAATAGGCCTGAAATCAGAGAGAAGAAATTAGTAAGGTAAAAGGTAAGATTTTAGATTCTAATGATTAGGTGAGGTTAGGTTGCATTCATGCCAGTAGGTAGATTTGTTTTGCAGATTTGAGAGACAGGTCCCACATTTCACATTTCTTTCATCCACATTATGTACAATAAACAGGTATAAAAACACAAAATACACTGGGACGTCCTCTGTACGTGTCTTGAATACAGGCTGAGTCCAGGCTGTTCTGAGGATGAACAATCACCTTGATGAGTAAGATCCTTTATGACTCTATATGCTGATGATCCATGACTCTGTCTCATATAGAGTATTGCATAACCACATGGTCACTCGCTGCTGGCACAACACTCAAACCAGTCGAATCATCAATCAAAAGCCATAAAAGTACTGGACAAGAAACCATTCTCATCTCACTACTGCACTATTTTAGATAAGTACAACCTGCTTAATTTTAATAATTTTGTTGATTTTAAATATGGATGTTTACTCTATAAAGATTTGCATGGACTTGCCCCCCCTCCGTAACAGAATTTTCTTAACGTAAAGACTGTCAATGGGATGGGAACTAGGGACACAGCCTGGGGGAACTGTGAGCTCCCACACAGACGCACCACATTTGGAGAAAGTGTGTCTCACTCAGAGGCACAAAATTTTGGAACAGTCTGCCACTATCAATAAGAGAGACTCCAACACCTGCCACTTTCAAATCCCACTTGAAACAGTAGCTCAAGGAAAACCAGACTTGTGGACACTTTTAGTTTAGAACTGTCACTTGTAGTTGTTGTTGTTTTTTCTTAGTTTTTTATCTCATATTTTTGTAATTTATATGACTTTTAAGATAAATTGTACTTATAAAGTCATAGTATATTTATATATGAGGGTTTATAGAGTATATAAGAGTTGTAGAAATGCAAATATTTCCTTTTTAAATGTCTTGACAAGATCTTAGAGTGAATTATTACGGTCATAATAGAAAGAATTCAGATTTAAAAGTGCTTCGCAAGTCTTCTCAAGTCAAGTCCCAAGTCACTGACCTTCAAGTCCAAGTTCAGTCCCAAGTCTTCATCCATTTTATCAAGTCAGGTCTCAAGTGCTAAAAATAGTAACTCAAGTCTGACTCAAGTCCATGTCACGACTTGCAAATCCCCACCTTTACCACCTATAACTGTACAAATGGAGTGCAAATGTGAAAGAGGATTACTGAAATGCAGAAGAACACTGTAAATCAGGATTGTCCAAACTATACCAGACATCAGACCAACTTTTGTCGTACCTCAGGCCTCCTGCTGAATGGGCCCAAGTACTCATCATCATCGGCATCTGAAGTAATTGTAGCACTGTAATGTCAGTATCTAGTTACTGCATTGTGATACAGACCTCACATTTGTCGTTTTTGTCAAAATTATGTAAAAGGCATCCATCTGAAAGACCAGTCTGTGTTTTAATACTGTATGTGGCCACCGTTTAAAAAAGTTGGAACACCCCTGCTGAAAATTAAAACAGCAAAGGATCATGGTTTATGTTTAGTTCCCTCAGTACAACAAAACAATCATTTAAGGCAAAAAGAGCATGCATATGTTTGATCCCTATGTTAAGGTATATTTATTCTTTGCATTTGACTCATCTTAACCATAACTGTTCTACAAGTTTTTTCATATAAAGGGAGAACATACAAAAATCACACAGAAAGACCTGGCCCAGAAATTTAACCTGAAATTGCATTATAACAACCAGCCTATATATGTCAAGTTAAACTCTTAAACACACTCAAAAAAACTCTAAAAACACACTATGATGCCTACATATTGACAGCCCTTCTCCTAGTTCACAAATGATTTAATGCAATTGATAAGGAGTTACATTAGAATTGAAATTAAACAAAAAAAACAAAAACCAAAAAAGGAAAAAGTGAGAAGCAATCACAGTATCTTGACTCTGTGGGTTTACATGGCTTGCATCATTTTATCATTTCACCTTATTAGACCTATCAGTAATCTAGGTTTTGTTGTAATAAGAATGTGTTAACTCCATCTGCTGTCACTTTCAGCACAGTTATTATAGTTTCAAAGTGGCTGTGCACAGTTTGAAGTACAAAATTATTCCTTCACAAACTTCACAGTGAGCAAAGCTGGAAGTGGAAGAGCTGCCAATGCACAAAACTGGCCCAGAAATAGAACAAAACAACTGAGATTTAATAATAGTCAGTGCATACCTTATATAGTCTGTGTCCAAAAGTTACATGCAGAGACACAGTGGGGCATGGGAATGTATTAAAGCTAAATAACATGATAATAGTCCTTTAATTTAGATAAAGTACACATTAACTACTGAACAAGGAATAACTTTTCTGAACTACTTGTTTGTCTCCATGGAGATGTCATTGCTTCACCTGTAAAGTTCCATGGTATGGCATTAAAATAATCTATCTTACATTTATTCAATCACAGGTGTAGTCTGTGTCAAAAACTAATATGAAGAGACACAGCGGGTTGTGGGGATGTGATAAAGCTAAATAACATGATAATACTCCTTTAACTGATGTGTAAAATCTCTCAGGCGTCCAGGCGGAATCCATGGCAAAGGAGAAATTCAATTTGTCATCTAGACAAAAGTTTATTTTGGTCAAATATGTTTCGAAGTTCATCCAAGCTGCTTCATTAGTTCTGGTCGGAACACTAAAGAAGAAGCTTGGATGAGCTGAGAAACGTTTTCAACCAAAATAAACTTTTGTCCAGTTGAAAAATTGAATTTCTCCTTTGGCCCTTTAACTTATATCATTTATATACAAAGACTGTTGAAGTGTATTAAAGTTAAAGATGTATTATGTAACTTGTACACGTCCTGCTTGTCTCCACGGAGATGTTCTTGTTTTGCCTGGAATGTTCCAGAGCATGGCATTAACTACTGTATCTTGCATTTATTTATTTTTATTTATTTAAATTTTTTATTGACTAAAAATACCTTGAAAATATCTGTGAGCGGGGTTGCCTTTCCACAGATCTCACTTGTGACGTGGCCTAGTGGGGTCACATGCTTGCCTTTATTGAGATAGATTAGGTTAATGCCATACTTTGGAACATTCCAGGCAAAGCAATAACATCTGCATGAAGACAAAACAATGGCAAACTCTTCACCAGTTCCACATAGCATCTTTTAAAATGTATGTGTTCATTATGTTAAGTGGTGCTGTTAAATAAAGCTGTAATATATGTGAGACTGGAGGACTTAAAAACACAAAGCAGACGGTGAATCAGAGCTAACTGTCAGCTGTGGTCAGGCATATTTCTTCTCTAAATACATGAGCAGACGTCTGTGGTCTGGTTCTGCCCCCAGAGGTGAAACATGGCATCAATAATAAAATCCACTCTTCTGTAATGGAATACAGGCAATACTGAAGACATATGTTTTTATTTATGGCTAGTATTTACACCAAACTATTTAAGTCCATATAAGTCTGATAAGAAAGAGAAAGAATGAGGCTTATGTAGTCTGTTGACAGTTTGCCCGTCAGAAGGTATAAGGTTCAAACTATGCTGGTGTGTGTCACAGGGCATAGAATTGTTGCAAGAAGGTAGGGCATCTGGTATAAAAATAAAACCACAGTGCAACATGTTTACCAAATTAAAGGTCCTATATACAGAATTGATGCTTGTGTATTTTGTTTCATTCACACATGTTTGAGTAATCTTTTATTATTAGTCTCTCTACATCACCAAAGCTTTGTTCTACCTTGTGATGTCATGAAGTGGTAGTTTTAAAGTTAACAGCTACTGGTGAAAATAATATTAGTTCAAGAAAAAAAAGTAAATAAAATTTTGGTTTGAGTTTGTAGTAAATAGTAAAAGATGATGAAAGGAAATAATGATGGTGAAAATAATATTAGTTTAAGTATAGGAACAAAAAATGTTTTTTTTTTAAATGGGAGGGAAAAAAAAGGAAGAAAGAGGAAATGAATTTCATAAATTGGCCGAAATATATCAATGTAAGGGGGCCTAGCAGTGTGGTTATGTTGCACTACCACATGACTTTTGTTTTATTTAACCAAATTTTTGTTGTGTGTGTGTGGTTGGGGGGAAATGGGGAGGGGGGCTTTTTTGTTTTGTATTTGTTGTGGGTGTTATGGGTGTTGCTTTGTTTTATGTTGATTATTGTAATTTGTTAATTGTTGATTATTGTATTTTTGTCCTTATATATATATGTATATATATAACAACTCCAGGCCTGAAATAATCCAAATGATTCTAGGGAAGATGTAGGGAGGTTAAAAATACAGTGGAGGATTACTAGAACATTGACATTACTCTTACATATATATATATACTGATCTATATCTTGGACTCCATAGCTTTGTACGCTATTTTATGACACAGTTGCTCCATTAAACTACTCTATACTCTACATATTGACTGATTAAAAGAAAGCTGAATATGTGGTACAATGTTTAATACTGTATTTACATAAACATAATTTCAATATTGTTAATGGATATAACTTCTATTTTTAAAAACATATTTTCCTAAAACAACAACAAATTACACAAAAACTGCACATAAATCATTTTTAACATATAGCGACAGATACTACAGGGGTCATTAAGCTCCTGCAGCCATTGCCCTTTGACCTTTGCTCTTCGTGAATGAAAACCTGGTGACCTCTGACCTCTGGGTCATTCTGACATTTCAATAAGTGAGATGAACATTGATTGATTCAGCAAAGCTCCTTCTAAATCACAACCTATAGAGAACATAAAGCAATGGACTGTATGGGGCCATAGTCCTTTAGTCCTTTAGTTGATTAATTGGTTGATTGTGGCTTAGTTGACCATTTTTAATTAACTACTTATTTTATTAAGATTATATGGATTTATATGGACCACAGCATATGAAGAATGAATAGAGAGAGATAGATGGAGTTTTTTGGTGATCACTGGACTGTACCCAATTTTTTCCCAAAGTATGTGAGCAGAATTTGTCTTGCCCCAGTACAGAT